ATGACTGGAGACCTATTTTTCTTTGATGGATTCCACAGTGACCCATGAAATCCCTTTTCCAATTACAATTCCACAAACCCCTATCGGGTTTTCTATCACCTCACCCGTCCGTTCAAAGTTCAAACCACAACTCCTTTAACCATAACCACTTGTCTGCTTGAGTTTCTCGCTACACGCCCAGTAATCAACTATAGCAGTCATTTCATTTCAAATAATAAAATACCAACAATATGCCCACAATACAGCTTCCAACATGATCTACAGCCACACATTTCAAATATAATTGCTGTCACAATTCTCAAATGTGTTATCCCATCAACGAGTACGATTCATATTTGAAATGAGTCAACATGCAGAGCTTTGATCAGTTCAATTCTGGCAATCTAATTTTTACCTTTTTTTTGTTTCAACATAAGTTTTTTTTTTTTTTTACCAATATACTCTGTGATTTTGTACTGCTCAATAATTTTTTTTTTCTCTTAAAACTTTTGATTGTCTCCTTTCTGCTTCTTTTTCAAAAGTTAATTTTAATCATCATAATAATGCAACATGCAATGGAGTTTGTAGAAAGTTTTATGGAATTCATTTTTTTCTTAGACTCCGTTTGGTTTCTAGGAAGATTTGGGTGGGATGGGAAAATGTAAAAATTGAACTTTCTAGTGTTGTTTTATATATAGAAAAATAATAGGAAAAACATGTCACAACCTGGTTCTTCGTTGGAAGAAGAAAAAGAAGAAGAAGAAGAAGAAGAAGAAGAAGAAGAAGGTGAGGGAGAAGAGAGAAGAGGAAGATGGAGGGAGAGATAGAGAACAGGGAAGGTAGCAGATCGATGGTAGCAAGGTAGCAGATTGCCGCTGCCTGGCTCTCTTGCCACCGCCGCTACTTGGTTCTCTTGCCACCATCGCCTCCTCTGCTACCGCCTCTTTAGATCGCCGTTGCCTGGTTCTCTTGCCACCACCGCCTCCTCTGTCGCTGCTGCCTGGTTCTCTTGCCACCACCGCCTCCTCTGTCGCTGCTGCCTGGTTCTCTTGCCACCATTGCCTCAAATCACCACTGCTTGGTTCTCTTGCCACCATCGCCTCAAATCACCACTGCTTGGTTCTCTTGCCACTGCCTCCTCTGCGTTGCCTCTTCAAATTGCCGCTTCCTGATTCTCTTACTACCGCTGCCTCCTCTGTTCGAATGGGGAAGGCAATGAACAGTGGTTCCTTACCAGTATCTGGTGAAGAAAACAATGGAGAATAGATCGGGTTTCGTCTTCGTCACTGGAAGGCAATAAACAGTGGTTTCTTGAGTTTTTACACCGGGGTCGCATTGTTTTGGTACAATCCTGTTTCCATGTCTTTAGGATCTCACATCCCACATTTTTCTCATCCCATCCCTCTATTTCCCTCAAAACAAATAAGAGAAAAAGGAATATTTTTGAAATATTTCCTTTTTGTCATCCCCATCCCACAAATCAAACGGAGCCTTATGTCTTTTCCTTTTTCTTGAAGACTCGGCTAAAGAATGCCTTACCTACATTTAGTTATTTGGGAAATATTTTCTAACAAGATCTTAAATAGGTGTGGTGTGTTCTATACCCTTGGAACCCATTAGGGGTGCAATCAAATATAGCTTTAATTGAACAATTTAGTTTAAATTCAATGCTAATTGAGTTCAAAGTTCAGGATAAATTTGATTAAGTTTTTGAATTCGAATTCAACCAATAAAATATTTGGCTGGAAAGCTTGAATTTGACTTGATTATATATTACTTTTTTATAAAATATAAAAGTATATCTGCTTTTTTTTGAACTTTTGATCTGAATCTGATTCAAATCAAACTCCAAACATGAAAATAGAATTCGATTCAAAGTCAAACTTGAATTCTAATATAAGTGCCTTTTAGTCAAATTGAGCCAAGATAATGCTGAAATTTACTTATTCCTCAATGGTGTTCTTATTCTTTACAGTACTGTGTTCTGAAATATTGGGATTTAAAATGTAATTTTTTAGACAAAATTATGCTAAATCAGTGTTATATTAAGACAATCAAATGGGATAGGAAATAATAATAATATTAAAAAAATAATGTTATTTTATATTTGAGAATCATGGATTTTTTATTCTTGTTTCTAGAATACACTATGCTGTTTTTTTTGAATAAAAAATTCAGTGTGCTGCATTCCAGAACTAGTTTTTTGAAACACGAAATTGACACACGCTACTGAAAACTCCCTTATTCATTCATTTATTGTATGAACAATATTGCACGCACAAAGCATGTGCCACTCCATTACTATATGCTAGAGTATATTGCAGATTAGTATTTATTGATTATTATCATGTACTTTGGGGTTAGTTTTATTTTGATACCCGAATTTTAATATGTGTCACTGTATTACCTTAATTCTCAAAAATTGTCAATTTAATTCAAAATCGTTAACTAATATTAAATGATATATAAAAGGACGTAAATATCCTTCAAGTTTTGAATAGGCAAGAGAAACATAATTTTGAAATAGCCAAAATAACCATGTTTAAATCCCTTTTCACTACGATTAGGCACCATGGTCCAAAGTACTAATCTGCAATACCTAAGTTCAGGGTACTAATTTGCAGCCCATAAGGAAGCTTATGGTTTCGTTTACAAAAGCGAAAAAAAAAAACTTATGATTTTAAAGCATTTCCATTAAATATTTGTTTGAACCTATCACCTAGTTTTTTTTTTTTTTGAAAATTGAAAACTTAATTAAACTCAAGAGAACAAAATACAAAGATGTTGATCCAACCAAAACGACGGATCATACCACCCAAACAGTTCAACAACAAAAAAATTGGCCCTTTGAACTATAGAATGGGCTGCACCCAAAAAAAAGATCTATGTTTATACAAAAGAGACAGGAGACAACCAGTTTTACAAAGAGACATTATTCTTCTTATAATTCCAATTGGAGAGGGAATTTTGTCACTAAATATTTTTTTTTTAATTCTTTCCTGCCAAATAAAATACCAAGCTACTGAGATCCAACTCAAGATGTTAGATAGATAGGAAGTAGCTATATTACTTGAGAACAGAAAGCTATATTACTTGAGAGCCTATCAAAAAAGCTATACTGCTTGAGAATAGAAAATCAAAAAAATAAGTCATAGATGGAAGGTGAAGGGCCTGCCTAAAAATATCGGACCATACGCTTGAGAAGCAGATGACTCTAGAAAAAGGACAAGAGATAAACAGATGAAAAGAGGTCTCTAGCTCACTTTGGCAAAGGAAGATGATTTATTTGGGGTAATGCACTAATGCCCCATTAGGCCTGTAAATGGATCGAATTTGAATCGAATCAGGTTAGACCGATTAGAAATACTGATATTTGAATTCGATTCGATATCCGATGGATATCAAATCTATTAATTTGAATTTGAATTTGATTATTAAATCGAATATTCGATTCGATTCAAATTCAACCAATTGGCTGAAAAATCGGTATTGATTGCAAAGAAGGGGAAAAAAGCTGAAAAATCTAGCTCATAACTAGAAACCAAAAAACCAATAAATCATCTAAATCACTATCAGAAATTTGTACTCTATTCTATCTCATTATCTTAAAAAAATCTATTCTATCTCATTAGAAATTTAGCATACGAAAATGAACTAAAAAATCTAGCTCATAAATAAATCAATTAACCAATCTGTAATCTACGAATTCTATGAAAATCTAAATCTAATTACCTTGAGAAAAGAGGTAGGGGATGCTGGACGGTTGAGGGTTGCTTGAGCTTGAGCAGCGGCGAAGGAAACAACACTTTGAGCTTGAGCTTTGGTTGGTGATTGATGCTCAACCGCTATCACTGACGCTGCCGTCAGTGATGGTGGTTGCTTGGGCGGCGAATCACTGTCTCACTGAGACTCAGAGAGAAGAGAGATAGAGGTAAGAGGAAAGATGACTAGATGAGCAACAACGGCGTCCGACGAAGGGCTGGTGATTGCTTAGACGATGAGGGGCGGTGATCGGTGATGGATTGATGGTGGTTGCTTGGGCGGCGTTCGACGACGACGAAGGGAGTGACAAAGGATTAGGGTTTTAGGTTTTGAAAGTTGAAACTTGAGAGAGAGAGAGAGAGGTAAGGATGTAAGGTTCGGACTTCAAACTCAAAAGGCTGAAATGAGTTTTCAAACTCATTTCTCATTTTCTTGTTTTTTCCTTTTTTTTTAACCTTTATATGATATATATAAATATATAAATAAAATCGGTTTGGATATTTATTGGATCGGATCAATATATATCTGAATTCCATCCGATAATTTATTCGGTAAAAAAATAATATCCGAATTCGAGGAATATTCGAATCGATTATACTGAATCTCAGATTCAAATTAGGATTTTTGAATATTGTTTATAGGCCTAGAAAGGTAGGGAAACCTTTACAAAACTTGTATAAATTTTCCTATCTTTTTCTTCCTTTTCCTACTTTTTCCCTCAAACCAAATATAGCTAATTAAAATATCAAAAAATCATGGTGAGTTTTAGATAAATTCCCTCCATTTTAATGTTAGTGTGGTAAATTGAGACTAACCTCAAATTACAGGATACTAATATCCAATTTACCATAAATGCGATGTAAAAATTAGAGGAGGATTAGACGAGTGAGAGAGAGATAAAAAGTTATTTTAATATTTATCTAATCGTAGTTGTTTTAGTTCCTACCTTGAAAAAGAGTGGAGAAAACAAGAAAAAGGAAATGAATTGCTGGCATCTACGGAAGGATGGAAGAAACGGGAAACTGGTAAGAAAGCGTGTCGTGTGACATTTTTTTTTCTTAAAAATAAAAGTGGTGCCAGTTGAGAATATGCTGGATTTTAACCAGGAGAGAGGAGGAGGAGGAGTTACTACTTAAAAGGGATATATAAAATGCAAAGAGGATGACATGGGACTGTAGGGAACCGCAACAAGAAGAAGCTCAGACGCCAGAACACAACAAACAACCAGGTCCACAAGGACAAACTTATTAATCCATTACCAGGGTTTTTTTTTTTTTTTTATGCCGCTCCTACCTAAGGTTTTTACTTCTAATGCAAATTACGTAAGAAATTTCATCTTCTCCGAAGATATATTAGTAAAAGCTCATGGATGATCGACCATTTCTTTGATCACCATCTTTACTGGTGCGTGCGTCTACTGCAATCCAATTGTGGTATCCCCACGTTTTCTTTTCTTTTCTTTTTTTTTTTTATATATATTTTTCTCTTTCTCCCTTACCGATGAATTCCTGTTGATCAGTCCTGTATATTTTTTGTATAGTTTTGGGCATAGATGAGGAAAGAAGTTAGGCTTTTCTTTTTGTTTCTGAATGCATGCCGTACAAGTAACCTTCTTTCCCTCTATTTATTTATGGTCTTAAGGAATGAGCTTGCGTTCTCAGCTATACTATGTTTTTTCTCTATGAAATTTTTTGTTATTTTGTTTCGCGATTTGATTTATATAAACAGGGAAAAAGGAAGTCCTTTTTTTCATTTCATTCTCTCTCTACATTCTTCATCAATATATAGCAGGCCGGAGAATAAGTTTCGTGATTTTTTTTCTCTTTTAGTTTGTTCATTTGTAACTATTAGTAATTTCTAATAAGAAAGCATGTCCTAATAAATTTTATTTCTTTTGGTACTTTAATTAGCTCTTCTTGTCTTATGGGTTCTATTGATGAGAGACAAATGAAGATATGTGAAATTGTTTCTCATGCATCTTCATCATATCTGCTAATCCGAGGGCTTTGCTATTTATTTATTTTTCCATTGGTTCAATCATTTCAGGCTTGTGCGTTGGTTCCCTAGCAACTATGAATCAACCGTCATTCAACGCCTGCTGGTACGGAGGCCAGAAGCTCTGTTCTTCTCGTTCGGTTTGGATTCTAACCTTTCTCTTGGGCTCCGCTGTCTCGCTGTATTACAAAGGAATAGTAGTTGGTATATGTTGCCTTTGGTAGGTCGTGAATAGTGATAACCTTTTCAGTAGTTTTAGGATTTGGTAACAGTTTACTCCCTTAGTGAGTTAGTTCCTAATTCTAGCAGCAATTAGGTGAGAACTGTTGCTTAATCTTGTTGTGGCTTTGATGGAATTGGGCGACTTGAGTACAATTTCTTAAGAGTTGAGCATAGAATGGATACTCAAGAAGAATAGGAAATTTGAATTAAGGAAAGACACAAAACCAAATACTTGTATCTTACCGAAAATCCCAGCAATGGGCTTACCTCAGGTATCCTTGAGCACGATTACTGATGAAGTTACTGCATCATTGAGCACATTTGCTCAACATCCACCTCGTTTTGCTAGTGAGAGCAGCTGTGATCTTGATGGAATGCATGGAGGAAGCACAGTCAATAGGGTCTCAGTGGATTTCCCATGCACTTCTTCCCTTGGGGATTTCCAGAAGAAAACCACACTAGAGCTGTCCAAAGGCTCAGATGGAAGTTTTATGCATAAAAGCACCATCAACAGTGCATCTGGTTCTCATGGGTTGAAAATTGGTGCAAAGGAAGGAAATGGTTGGTTTGCTCCTAAATTTGGACAGAGTATTCATACTCCTTTTTCAAGGATTGTGGGGTTTGAATCGGGTGGGCTGGATTCCTTTAGTGGGTTTGAAGAAACTTCACTATCTCGGTTTCCTTCCTCTGCTGCCAATGGCATTGCTAGTGGCAATGAAACTGAGCCACACGGTTCAATAGTCCGCAAACGATTGCTATCTCCTTTGAATGGTATGCTTTATCCAAGTCAATTTGACGGCGGTCCTCTAGACATTGGTGGAGGCAATGATCATGTTGATTCTCCTGTCCTGAGAGATGGGCATAGTGTTTCTGAGGCACAAGACCACAAGAAAGCTAATATTAGCCAGATTGATTATCAAAATACCCCAGTTTCATCTGTATCTAGTTGTCTGAGATGGAAGAATGGGCTGGATAATGATATCGGAAGAAGTTTTATTTTTTTGGCTGATGGCCGTATACCTATTAACATTGAATCCATACGTCACAATCTCTTATTACCTTCACCAGGAGTTGATTCCTATGGGGAAGCAAGCAAGGTAAGAACCCGAACTGGGTCAGTACCTATAGTTCCAAAAAAGATGATCTCATCTCCACTTTCTTTGTCTCCTCTTGGTCCAAAATTCTCTGAAAGAATGAAAATTGCAGGAGTACATGGGGTTGTGGGAAAAGAGATACAAGGTAACTTTTTAATGTCGAAGAGCATGGAAAAGTCTCCAAATGAATCTGCCTCAGGCATTTTATTTGCAAAGGATGAATATGAATTTATGATAACAAGCAAATCATTTCAAGATCTTGATATTCTGGAGAAAGAATTTGATCCATTTTCAATTGAAGGTACAACTGCCATAGATCGGCACTGGGGTCCTGATTCATCCCTTAAATCTCAATGCGTTCCCGTTAGGAGGTCCTTGGTTGGTTCTTTTGAAGAGTCCCTATTGTCTGGTCGGTTGTCATCTGGAAAAGCTAGTCAGGTTAATATCTACAGTTAATCATTTAGGGAATATTTTCTTCTGACTGATGTTTAACATGATTTTTTGGATTTCTTTTCATGGTCATCTTATGTTACTCTTTCTTCTTTTTGCTTCTTCAATTACAGAGAATTGATGGTTTTCTAGCTGTTCTAAATGTTACTGGAGGGAGCTTCTCGCCTCCATCACAGAAGCTTCCATTTGCAGTAACTAGTGTGGAAGGAGATAACTATTTACTTTACTATGCATCAATAGATCTTGCAGGAAGTATGCAATCAAACAAATGCAGAAGCCCAAAAATGAACAGAAGCTTTGGCATTGATGGTTCCCATGCTATCAAGACCCGCTTGCATATCCCTATGAAAGGGCGCATTCAACTGGTACTAAGCCTCTTATCCCTCAAAATTAGTTGGTCATCAAGTAAGTTAGGCTCGTTATCTCTTTGTTTTGGATTATAGAACAAAGCATTGATCTTGGCTTTATTATCATTGTGTTGTAAAGTGGTTTTGTGCTTGCGGTATTGTCTGTCCTAGGAAGTGTTATTTCCTTCTCTTGTATTCACTACTTGGGAATTTCTGTATGTTTCTTGGGTCTATTAAGAAGCATCTAAAGTTGTTCTAGGACTCGATTTTATTTTAGCTTGGTCATATTAATTACAGATAATTGACCTTCGTCTTCTAGTGTTTCTTTTCATGGATCTTTCTGCCTATAGGGTACAGAAGTCAGGGGTTTTGCTTTGCACTAAGCATTGCTTGCTAGCATTGCTATACTTCTTCCATGTTTGTGTTTTTTCGATAATGCCTTTTGATAATACTTGTGCTATTATCGAATAAAAAAAGGAGATTCTTGCTGTCAGGGTAACTCATGTAGGTATCAGATTAAACAGTTGATGCTGTACTTGCATCTATATGTTTAGATGAATTGTCACTTCTTTCTGGGACCTTAGGATTTTTTTGCTTTAGATCTTAGAGTTTATATTTCCAATGAACTAAATGTGATAAATAAGTGACTTTCATCTATTGACATGTTAAATTGACTGTAACAGGTCCTCAGCAACCCAGAAAGGACACCTCTGCACACCTTCGTTTGCAACTATGATTTGAGTGATATGCCAGCTGGAACGAAGGTATATTTTAGTAGAATGTCTTGCTCTTTGCCATTTATCTTTTATTTCTTTTTTTTTCACTTTTTTTTTGTAATATATAACATTTTGAGAGATTTATTTTCATAGTGTATTTAGAATTGAGGATGATACACTTTTAACAGGGTTGTTTAATGATTTCTCCCATTCCCTTGAATGGAATTATGTAATCATAGATAAGACTCCCTGTAGTACAGATTGAATTGATGCCGGGATACACTTCTTGTCTAGTCAGTTCTTTTTTTGTTGTTATGCTCCATGAATCAACTTTTTAAATCATTTACAATTATTGGCCTTTAATATGCCTTTCTTTTGTTTTAGTGTTTCTATCTGCATAAATTCTATTAATTTATGTGCCACTGTTCAAATGTGTTTAGACTTTCTTGCGCCAAAAGATGACTCTAGCCACTTCTAAACTAACCTTGGTACCTGGAAAAGAAGGAAACAGTAATCTTGGCATGAAAAGTGAGCCCAAGTCTACTGCATTCCCAGAGAAAAATCATCCTTTACAGCTTAGCAGGGAATTTGTCAGTTCAAATGGAGTTGGCATTGTACATACCATTAGATCTACATCTACAGATCAAAGTGCTAAAGTTATAGGAAATGGAGGTTCCAATTATGTTGATTTTGTACATAATGGTGAAGATCCTTGCAATCCATCCCAGAACAAGGGAGACATAAGCCCCCTGTTCTTTTCATCTCGGGACTGTCTTGAGCAAGCAAATGACTCCAATCTTGCTGTGAGCACAGAAGATGAAAAATTTAGTAGCAATGAGTGCCAGAAGACATGTGAGGTGGATTTCACCCCAATTGATGCATGCCTTGAAACTGACTCAAAATCTGTACATAGTGCTTCAAAAGTCAATGAGAAAACATCCGGTGCTGGTGTTCTGCGTTATGCTCTTCATCTCCGTTTTCTATGTCCTTCAAAAAAGTGTTCAAGATCATTGCAGAGATGCAAATCTGATCCTTTATCTGCTCCTGAAACAAATGGTTTGAATGTTGAGGGGGAGAGACACTTCTACTTGTACAATGATCTGAGGGTTGTGTTCCCTCAACGCCATTCTGATGGTGATGAGGGCAAGGTATTTCCCTGAATTTTCACACTTAGATGTTATTATGTTTCTTGAGATGTTCTGACCGAGTATTTTTGTGTGAATTTTCCTCTTTTTTGCATGCTACAATGATTTTTCATGCATTCTTTTGTGGAATATTTGCTTCATTTTGTTGATTATTATCTTGTATGATACCATGACTCTTGTTCATGAAAAATGGGGGTTTAGTCGGTGTAATTTGATTTTGTAATATATAAATGGCTGTGGAAATTCATCTTTTGTACTTTATGTTATTGTTGAATCAAAACTTTTGGGTTTTCTTTCAAGAAATGCTTTCCTATTGGCTGTTCATAAGATTATGGTTTGAAAATTTGAATCTAGGTGTAGTTACTATTAAATTTACCTCTGAGAACTGCTCATGTGGTCCTTGGATTTTTTTAATGAGCTTTAACATATACCAATTTTGGTCATGCTGTTTGAATCATACAAATACTGTTGATTGGTGATACGGAACATTAACTTAAAATGATTTGATCCTTCAAGCAGTGGTATGATTTGACAATAGGATTAGGTTGGCGTAATAAGAATTAAGAAACATGGGAACATGGGGTTAGAGGTTTAAGTTTGAAGGAATTCATAATTGTAGGTTTAGGGGTTCAAAAATCTTCTACCTAAGAAAATATTCCTTAAGCAAGGCTCAGTTTGGAAAGAGTATAAATGCAAATATGTACAGTGCAAATACATACAAAATAATACAAAATATAAGGTTTTGCTCTCTACATATTTACATTTGTACTCCTTCCAAACTGAGCCAAAACTTGAAGTAGTCAAGAACATTCAAAAGGTTTGAGGTATGGAAATTTAACTAAAAGAACATAGGAAGTGCTTAGAAGTGGTTAATGTTTTCAGCCTTCTTAATGGATGAGTTGATGGAAGAAAGAAAGATCTTCAATCTTTATGATAGGGATCAGCTGGTGGGGAAGGTGGAGAAGCTGTTGATCAACTGGACAGTTCAAAAGCTTCAAATTCCAACATTTTCATAATCAATGGGAGCTGATTGATTTTGATAACAACTTTAATATCTAAATATGGAATCCTAATGGATCACAAATACTCATTTGTGTATACTCAGGAATTGTAATATATTCCGTTTTCTTTGGTGAAGGGTATCTTATCCTCCATATATTACATTTCTTGTAGTCTTCTCCATTGTGGTCTTATAGGAATAGGCTTTGGACTTGGGCTATGGGTCAAATTGGGTTGCATGCTAAATGTTGGAATAGAAAAGGTGTTTTGTTGTAGGCCCTTCCAATGACATGAAAACATCCTGATAGTCAAATTTGGGCCACTAAAAATTGCCACCCAAAAGTGACTTAGGTCTTTAGCTTCCTAAAATTAATATTTTTTAATAAGTTTTGTCCAATTAAATTAATAAGGTCCAGTTTCTGTGAGATGACAGTGTATAGTAGATGGCCTGTATAACTGATATATTGGTATTGATGGCAAACTTCATGGGCTTCCCAGGATTTGTCATGGGATCTTTCTTGGTGATCCATGGGTTATTCTGATGGAATGGATGTTCCTACATCGTAAAAACTGTATTTAACCTTAGAGATCAATTCACTCCTTGGAAATTCATATTTAAGCTTCAATTATTTTTCTTTTCTATTTATCTTAGCTAAAAGAGTAAGGTCATGAGAAGGTTTGGTTTTAGAAAATATTTTGGGTGAAGTAATAGTACTTTTTCCTCTTTCTTTAGCTTGTCCACTCAGAGAATGATTCATACAGATTATCTTGTATGGTTTTCTTCAACTTTTGCTTGGAACTTGAATGGTAGTTCTACAAGTGTAACTGTCTTACAACATGTTTAACTTTGAGGTGGAATGACTGAACATTTTTAGTATCTTATAATAATGGTTCAGGTAGCAACTAGCAAATATAAGCTTTCCTTGGATGGAAACAAACTTTATTGAAGACTATTAGCAAGGGTTTCTTGTTTAAGGAACTGGGTTTTTTGAATATGCTATACTGCAAAATGAAGAAAAGAAATAAAGCCATACTGTTCATATTGTCTTTGATAGTTGTCGATGCAAATCTTCTTTTCATTAAAGGCTTATGGGATGCTCATCACTATGTATAATTTGAAAAACAAAACCATAAACATTGGCGAAACTACCCCGTTAGGAATTATTGTTAGCTTTTTTTCCTTGGCATGTTTTTTCTTTTTCGTATCTCCTACCACGGGCTCTCATATCTTGCTTTTAGGTGGTAAGTTCCACTGTATCTCTTTCTTCTCGATGCAGAATTTCTCTATTTCATGGTTCTCAGCTTCTAAATGCTAGACTTCTATAACCTTTGATCTGCCTTTTTTTTCTTCTTCTCCCGTTTGGTTTAATGGATGTTGGTTTTTGGTGGCAGTTGCACGTGGAGCACCATTTTCCGAAAGATCCGAAATACTTTAGCATCAGTAGCTGACTGGCCTTGGCCTAGTCCATCTTGGAGGCGGCTCTAGCCATGTACATATCAACAATTAGCCATTTAATCTTTTATGGGGCATTAACCCCGTTTCATCTGTGTAAAAAGAAACATTTTCAATAAATTTGTTAATTTCATTTCTTTATCCAGGTTTCTTTATCTCTAGAGTCTAGACCACCTACTTTTAATGGTGTAGATGTAGTTGGGAAATCAATGTTATCTGTGAGGTAGCTCCCAAGTGGATGCTGCCATCTTAGTATTTAAAAAAAAAAAAGTGATTGGAGCTAATAGCCTGGGCCGTAGGCCCTGTTGAGAGAACAGCCACATTTTTATGTGGCTCTTCAGTCTTCACTCCAAACGCAGGATTTTCAATCTGGTGGCATTTATAATTCATCCATTTGAGATGCTGGCTGTCCCTTTCCATCTTTTAAAACCAAAAACTCCTTATCTCATTTGTTCTAAATTCGGACCCCCTTTCACCAAAAAAAAAAAAAAAAAAAAACMCMCCCCCCCCCCCCCCCCCCTCCTTTGCTTTTATCATATTAGCTACAGAGAATGGACTTTGCCCTCTGAGTTCAGGGCCAAGCAAGAATCACCAAGGAATTCTAAGAATTCTTGTTATACTTGTTGGAAAAATAAAATTTTAAATCTCCAAAAACAAATAAAACACCATCAGTACTGTTATTCGGTCTTCAGCCCTGCCCTATTATGGCATTGAATCAATTTAACACGACTCTGACACTCATTCCACTTTGTTACAATCTTTCTTTTGGGTGTGTTTTCAGAATTTGGAACTGCACTTTTATTTTTCCCCGGATTTCAAATAAGCATGTGACGGGTGTCCTACTCCCACTACTTGTATAAATGCTCATTACATGTAATGGGGCACTGGGCACCTGTTACAATGTCACGGACTTAATGGATGTTTCTGAAAAGTGCCGGGAGATCCGAGGCCTTGTGTTTTTTTTGATGGCCAAGCCTTTGAATTTGATGTTTAGTTTGAGATCCCACTAATATGAGAAAGAGCATAAAACAGCCTTGTTTGCGTTTTGGTAAGTTATTTATTCAGGTAAATACAGTTATTTTGATAATTTTTTTTTGGGAAATATCATGTAAATAAGGCAATGACCATTTTAGCTATAAAATTTTATTATTAAAAGGGGTATTTTTGTCCAATTCAAGTGTTGAAAACTTTTCCCCTAGGTGGGAAAGTTATTTATCCACCTAGGATATGGGTATCACTTACCCGGGTAAGTAATAACCAGGAAAATAAACTTTCCCTGGTCTCCACATAAATCTGTAAAAACTTAAAAAGAACATGGGATTCTTGGTTAATGGAAACCAAAATTTCACTGACCAACTTTCCCCCCTTTCAAAATAAAAAAAAACGCCCCCTAAAACCAAGCTTAAAGCCTTGAGAAAAACTGATGTAGCAAAGGCAACATCAACACCCATGATAAAAAAAAAAAGATAAGTAAGTAAAGACAAAATTTATGGTGCATTTGCTGCATGAGAAAATTAGTTAAATTTGGATTAATGTGTAGCGAATATTAATTAAATTCATAAATCAAATGCATTACCACTAGAAGCCACTCCGGTGGTTTAAGTTTTTCAAGTTATTGTTCTGTTTTGCTTGTGTTCCAATGAAAGATTGTTTCATCCTTTCCAACGTTTTAAAAAATGATCTGGAAACGGAATCGTTTTGGCCACTAGTTTTTGGGTTAATGGTCCGACCTCTGGTTTGAATGGATGGCCCGTTTTGACAGAAAAATTAAAAAATAAAAAAAAATAAAAGGTCAAAAATCGTTAAACAGGTTGATGGGTCGACGGTTCGACTGCCTGGGTCAACGGTTTGTTGACTAGATTCCAAGTTTTGGGTAAAATAGAACCGGTTGCTTGGACGGTTCCCCGGCCGAACGGTCGGGCCGTCCAGGTCAATGGTGGTTTGAAAACGTTGATCGTTTCTACCCCAAAAGGAAATAAAATAGACGTTTAAAATTTTTCAAAAGTTAATGGCACGTGAAAAATTGCTAACAAATCAAATCAATCCGTAGCATAGAAACGATAAGGGCATATCTTTTAGGGATTTTTGTACTGCAATCCCCCTCAATCTGAATTATAGCTCCCCTATAAACTACATCCTGCCCGTGGATCAGGCATCAATCTACGGTCAGGATTTAGTCCACCCCTAGAATGGAGAACTAGGTTTCTAGAGGTGGACTGAACGGTAAAAACCCCTATCTTTTAAAGTACTATTAAGTTTTAGGGATAAGTAAATTGCAGTCAGAAATCTGAAATTACAACCCCTCCTGGTCTACTAATAGCCCCCTTATAAACCGCATCCCGGCCATGGATTTGGTATCAATCCATGCAGTTCACCTCAGAAATCTGAAATTACAGCCCCTTCCTAGTCTACTAGTAGCCTCCCTATAAACCGCATCCTGGCCAATGGATTTGGCATCGATCCACGGTCAGGATTCATCCCACCTGTATGGTGGGGCTCTGATTTTTGGGGTGAACTGAACTATAAAAATCTCGTTGTTTTAAAAAATTTACCAACTCTACCCGATATTGTCTTAAAGTATTCCTAAGTTTTTTGATTATTTCAAAGTAAAACTTAACATCTACCTTGCAAATAGAACACACTCTTCAACCTTTACTTGGTTGAAGGTCAAGATCGAACACAGATGGAGATGGACATGGGGCAAGCTAGAGTTAAGATGGCATCCTCAAATTCTAATTTTTGGGTGAAAGATGATCTTTCCTATTGACCTATTCAGAGGTCTTTGAAGCAATAGAGAAGGGAGATGATCCTATCTAGTTTTTGGGTTGCAAATGGTTTCACTGGACATCTTTATCCGCTGGAAAGCTTTGCCATAAGGAGAAGACCATCAAGGTGTTAGTCAAATGTTTCATTTTAAAAATTTAAAGAAGAATTTATTAACAGCAAGCAAGGGAGAGAGAGAGAGAGAGCTTAAGAGATTTGCATAAATGATAACCAATGAACTGGTATTCATAAGAATTCATCAGATCAAGTTGAGAAGGTGGTTTTGATTGGTCAATAGAAACTGCCCTACTTTAAATAGGCATTTTCCCTCTGTTTTAGATATGAATGATTAGAATTTTATTTCCTTGAAGCTGACCCTCAGGACCATTGACCAGCACTAATTTTTTTGGATGGGCAGGATTGCCCGGCCTCATCAAGGTTAGGGCCGGCTATTTAATTAAGCAACTAATGTCTAATGAATTGCACGGTTTGCACCATTGGCTAAGTTGCTATGTTGGTCCCGGAGATGCGGAGATTCCGGTCCGGTTACCTGTTACCATCTACTTTAGAATTATTAATGTATTATATTTAATAATTTAAATACAAAAAGAAAATCTATATGATTACTAAATTAGTAATTATTTTATTTAAAATACATAGAACTACAACAAATAACAAAGGAAACTCCTCAACTCACTTGCTTTAAATAATTCCCTTGAAGAATAAAAGCACACAAGAAGAAGGAAATTAAACAGCGCAGCAAGCACATATTCTATTATATATGATCAGTTAGCAGCCTATCTCATAATTCACGGATCCCATCAGCTCTGGGCCTTTCAGTCTGGGATTGTTCTCAAAACTGCATATCAATCAACACTAGTGGTCAATAGGCAGTACAAGATATATGTATGTATATATTCATATTTTATTTTGACATACTACGTACGATCGAGTGCCAGTTGTTGATATTTAATTAATTACCTTCGCTCGTTAAACTTGTAGAAAGATCCTGTGGTTGGAATGCTACCGCATAAGTCATTGTTCGACACGTCTCTGCAACAGTAGTAATTGTAGTACATTTTTATTATGAGAATGGATTCTGTGACTGTGAGAGATATATGTATAGAGAGAGAGAGAGAGTAGTAAGTAGTAAGTACATGATCTTGAGGTTTGGAAGCGTGGTGAGGTCCCTTGGTATTCTGCCAGTGAGGCTGTTCCCGTTCAGTCGCCTGCTTACACATCCCCCAAGTCCACGGTATTACTATACTAATGAATGAGCACTGTGCAGTGGTACTGAGCACATACTAAATTAACTTTACCAATGTAAAACGCGGGAATGCAATGCCATCCCATCACGTAAGGTAACAGACAATAAACTCTAGTTATTTTGCATACGTTCGTCGGCCTGTGTTGTGGCTTGTGGGGGTGTATATGCTTCTCGCACGCGCCACATCCCATCATGTAGTGGGAACATCTCCATTGAATAGTAACGGAGTATGGGAAATATTCTAGATGTGCCGTTGGTAGTTAGTGTGAGGATCGCTATGTAGGGAACAGATCCAGACTCCCATCCTCCACACCCACAGCCTCTCTTCACACTCCACTTGAAGCCTAGTGTTTCCATTGTCTTAACCTTCCGTTGTAGTCTAGTTGGTTAGGATACTCGGCTCTCACCCGAGAGACCCGGGTTCGAGTCCCGGCAACGGAAATGCTTTTTAAACGCAGCGAGCCTCATCCTTACGATGAAGCCTCTTTCTGTCAATTTATTCAAAAAAAAAAAAAGAGGGGTTTTATTTATAGATGTGTGTTTAACCGGACAAAATTTAATAATGCTGCTGCAAATAGATCAGATTGAATTAGATATACCTCTAGATGGTCAGGTCCAAATTTGATTTATTAATATTTTAATTTGGATGAAATCTTATTCGTTTGATTTATTATCAGATTTGAATTGCACACAAATATTTTATTGCATGAATAAAGTAAAATAAAATAATAACAAAATGATTCAAAATAACTAATATCAAAGGTGCATGAACCTACTAATCTATAGCAAACATACAACGCTCAAATTAATTATACCATGAGGGATATGGTACCAGTAATTGACTGAATTTGTCCTTATTCAAATTCCTATGCAAAAACATGTGATATTGGAAAAATAATTTATCAATAAAATAGAATTACAAATTAATAACAATCAAAGTGTTATTTATCAAAATTTCATGGGAGTATTTTGATTGGTCAAAATACTCTTTTCGTATCATATCTTTCCCGCATAATAGATTTTCCCTAAAGAGAGAGAGAGAGAGAGAGAGAGAGAGTTGGTGTATGTATAACTTACAGAAACTTGAGGTTGGTGAGCCTAGATAGGGAGGGAGGGATGGGGCCACTGAGGTTATTGTGGTAGAGACCCAAGCTGAGGAGGCTTTTCAATGCTCCTATCTCTTTTGGTATGGGTCCTCTCAACTTGTTCCTGTACAACTCCCTGTTCACACAGTTATCACCAAATTAACCAAATATTTCACTCTTCCTATTTAATTGTTTGGTTCCTCTTAAGCTGCAATAAATCATCAATATTTCAGTACTGCTGTGGCCCGGCCCACGTATACTTGGATGAAATCATGAAATGACGTCAATTTGGGGCCACAGTAATGCATGGAAGGCCATGTTGGAAAAATGATGTTTTTCAATGGAGACTTAAATTTTTTTTATTAGATTTGTAAAAGTTTTTCTACCGTTCCTTTCTTTTCCCTATCTTTTCCTTCAAATTAAATGTAGTCTCAAGGCTCGGTTTGTTAAGAGTTTAAATACAAATACAAACCGAGTCTTCACTTCACATGTTTGTATTTACAATATTCTTCCCAATTAAGCTCAGTTTCAGTTTGGAAGGAATACAAATAAAATTATGTAAAGTGCAAGTTTAACTTTCTGAAAAGAGCCTTACAATAGCACTAAACAGTTTGTTTGATTTGACAAATGACAACAAAGCAAGACTAGAGCTTGAGAGATAACAGAACAGAACTTACAGATATTGGAGGTGTTCAAGCCTCCCTAGTTCAGGGACTAGTTTGCCAGAAAGATTTGCATTGCCTAGGTCTCTGCATGTACGGTACCCAACGGCGTAAAGTTTTTAAGTAAAATACTTGATAAATAATAAAAGAAAGAGAAATAAAAGGAGAAAAATTAAATTACAAACGAAAATTTTCATGCTGTGAGCTAGGTGTAAATTTTTTTCGGCAGAGTAAAAGAAAAAAAGAGCTCTAGTACTCTTTACTTCTTCAGATAAGCAATAAAAGAAGAGAAAAAAACGAGTGGTGGTTGGCTTGCTTACAATCTAGTAACCCTGTTATCTCCGTCGCAAGTAACGTGGAACCATGTGCAGGGATTCACCAACGTAGGATCCCAACTCTGTAGAACATTTGCTGGATCCTTAAGGGCTCTTCTCAATGCAAAAAGAGCATCACCTGTATATCATCAGTTCAAAAATGCCCAGAGGAAAATTAGGAATAGATAAATAACACTAGCTACGTACTCTAACAAGAGATATTGAGATCGATTAAAACAAGTAGTCTTGTATGTGGGTGGACCTTCGAGATTTGCCATTGAGGACTTCAAAAGAAATGATGGTTGAAGAAGAAGTAGAAGAAATAAAGCCCATAGTGCCATTAAAGAAACTAAAGCAAGCTCTAAGCTCCTGCAACTCGATTGGAGAGAAGAGAGAGAATATGGAGCGCGGATGGGTGGACCGTGGAGGGAGGGTTTTTGGTATTGGCTAGCTTATTGCATATATAAGAAGCAAAGCTAGTCTGACCGACCTCTGCAGCTTACGAATTTATAGTGTGGACTTGGAGACACAGCACTATTCTATTTCTAAGATCTACCGATCCATGATCCATTATCGATCGATAATGGAACAAGAAAACACAACAAAAAGTATTGATGACTGATGAGGACTGTTTCTGTCGGTCGGTCGGTCTTCCATCCGTAGACAGACAGAAGATGACCATGGTCGTCCCGTTGGGTTACGTTGTTTTCCCATCCTATGACCACAAATCCGAAAATACCTTCACTCTTTCGATGTTATGCCAACTTTTCCCCTCCTTTCGGTTTTCGTATCACACAGTACTGTCTCTGTGTTTCTTGGTCGTCCGGCCGTCGTCCTTGTCAACGTGTCGTGATGCATCGAATGCAATGCAATGACATGTACAGATATGATTGGAATCGTCACAGAAGGAGGACATACGAGAAAAACAACACGTCTTTTCACACATAAAAGCAGTGATGGGTTGTTGTTTCCCTTTTCTATATATTTGAACTCAAACTTCACGGGTTTATGCCAGCAATTAGGGTAGGGGTGTCCAAATTAAATCACAATTCTTGAACAAATCAAAGCACATCTTTTGAACTCTTTCTGATGAGAGGAGGGAAAAATGATTCATTGGAATATGTATTGCCGGGCAGAGAAAAACGTCATGGGCTGTGTAAATTTGACATTAGTTATGTTGAGATTCATGTATGAATAGTTGAAGAGAGAATATCATATTGGAAAGGAATGAGAGGTGTACGTAAGAGACTTATAAAGAATAGACCCATAATTCACTATTTTAAGCTTTTGGTTGTATGTCGTGTTCTTCTATTGTGCATAAGTCTTACATGCGCGTAAGTGCACAAGCCCCCAGTTTTGATAGTGATGCATCGAGAGCCCCATTGATAATATAAACTAGCCATTAAAGTTAATAGGCAAAACGGTATGTGACTCGGTCACTGGGTTGCGGATTCTACAGTTAATATATGCAAATTTTTGGAGGTTATAACTTGCAATCTAATGTTCGACTAGAGTGATTTTTTTTAGATAATTTTTCGAGATCTATGTGTTCCAAGGTCTTATTATTTTTACGAAAAAAAACTCTTTTTTAGTCTCTAATTACAATTTTTAATATTTTAAAAATAAAAATTTTAAAAACTAAATTTAAAAATATAAATTAAATATAAAAATACATATAACATATCTAAAATATAATTATATATAAATATATATACCTTAAAATATATGTGGGGCGGTCTAACCCGTTCAACTTGGATGGTTGAATTGATGACCCGCAACCCAGAGGCAAAAGTGGTTTAACCTCCAGGTTGATTTTTAAAACATTGTATATATATGTTTTGTATATTATAATTTAATTAAAATTTAAATGTTAAAGATAGTTAAAAAAATAAAATAATATTCATTTCATTCTCTTGATTGAGTCTCGAATCTCACAATCTCTCATATCTCTTGTTTTCTTACTTTCAATTTCAAGTTTCAAACCCTAACCCTAACCTTTCCTTCATCGACGCTGCTCGAGCAACCACCATCACCAACTTAGAGGTTGAGTACCGGCCATTGCCTCTCGTCCTCTATTTCTCGGTCTCTCCTCTCTCGCTTCTCACAATCTCATCCTCTCCTCTGTCTCTCCTTGTCTGCACATTTTCCATTGCCTGAGCAACCATCATCTCCAACGGTAGCATCAGTGATTCAGCGGTCGAGCACCGATTATCGGCCACCACCTCTCAAGTCTCATCTCATCCTTTGTCTCTCCTCTGTAACTCAGCATCTTTACTGACACTGCTCCCAACCCAAGTTAATAGGACTGTGAGAGTGACTGTTGGCTAACATCACCGGCCACCACTATCGTCTTAGTCACACCGGCGAAATGCATGACTGTCACTGTTGCACTTGGTCTACTGTCGGATTCGAATCGAATTAAATATTCGATTTGATAATCAAAATTGAATTTGAACAGGGATTTTTTATCCATTGAATACCGAATTGAATTCGAATATTAGTATAGGTTTCGAATTCGAATTTAACCCCATTCGATTCGAATTCGATCTATTTGCATGCCTAAAAGTTAGTCAACCAAATATATATATATATATATATATATATTTTTTTTTTTTCTTCCCCTTGGGGATTTTCGTACTTGTAAAATTTTTTAAGACTGGGGAAGTATTCTCAACGCACGCTACAAGGGACTGTGACTCTGTGAGGACGTTCTCGTGAGGACCAAATTAGATTTCACTGGATAGATCGTAGAGAAAGGCTATACATACATTCCGACCACTATGCACTCTCCGATCTCCGCTTGTAGCCACGCTGTGACTTTTGGCCTTGAAAAAGCCTATAACCACTAAAAAAATTACAGCTGATGAACCAAAGCTAAGCCGTCATAATTCATAAACGGGTTCTAAGTCGAAGCATTATATTTTATTTTCTCTCTCTCTCGATCTCGATCTACACGTACTAGAGGGTTTTGGAAGATTACTTTTGTCTCTCATTCCGTGTCTCAAAATACGTACGGGATGTAAGTTGTAACATTACTTTTGCTGCCTTTCTTACGTCGGTATTAGAATCGGTACTGGTATTACAAAAACAATGTATATACATGTACGCCCTGTTTTCCATGTTCTTCTCACAAATTAAAATCTTTTGTGTTTTCTTATCCTGTGAGTTTATAAAAAGAAAATTTGTAATTCACTTTTTGCAATATATACTAGAATGGAGCGATATTTCTAAATTGTCCTCCACTGATAGGAGGGAGTACTTTTTTTCAGCTATCAGCATTGAATACGACCTCATTAGGCAGGGCAATTTTGTGAGGATTTTTCCAGTACTCAATTTATTCCAGCTTTAATAGGATTTATTTATTAAAATCTTAATAGAGTTTGTAACTATGGCTCAGTTTGGAAGGAGTACAAATACAAATTTTAGAGTAAAAAAATCTTATATTTTATATGTATTTACACTACATATTTGTATTTGTAATCTTTCCAAACTGAGCAATAGGCTCAATTTTGAAGGAATACAAATGCAAATTTGTACAGTATAAATACATATAAAATATAAGGTTTTGCACTCTATATATATGCATTTATACTCTTTATAAACTGAGTCTATGATTCAGTTTGAAAGGAGTACAAATGCAAATATATACAATATAAATACATACAAAATATAAGGTTTTGCACTCTACAAATTTATATTTGTATTGCTTTCAAACTGGGCCTATATAGATTTAAAGATGGATTTGGGTTTTGTACTTAGGCCAGGTATCTAATACCAGACCCCAATTATATTTAACACACTGTTCCTACTCCCATTACTTGAGATTATATATATATATATATATATATATATATATATATATATATTATAAAAAATCTATGATGCTGGGAATGAAAACATTATATTTGAAGAGGTTTAATAATCAATAAAAAACCCCTGAATCTTAATATGACATCTGATTCATTACCACTTTTATGATACCAGCTGGTTTGGTTATAAGTATTTCTCTTATAATAATCGAACCCTAATAAATATATTTTATAAGAGATAGTAAAAAGGGTTAAGGGAGAATTGAAGTCATTCCCCTTGTGTCTTATATAGGTGTCTTCACTTGTAGCCTAGCTATCACCCCATATTTTCTTAAGAATAACATATCACATTTCACTTACGTGATGACTGGTTTTGAATGGGATAGGTTTGGGAAATTGGGAGAAAAAATTAAATGAATTTGGGATTTTAGGTGCTTTTGGGGGATTTGGGAATGAAAAGGGACAATTTTTTTCAAGGAAATTGACCACCAAAATCAAAAGAGAAAAAGCATATTTGATTTTGAGGCAAATAGCTCCAATCGTCCCATGACTAAATTAAAATTAAATGCTATGATTGATTAAAAGAAATATGGACAAGTGATGATGACATGTATTGGGTACATTAGATCCATCCATGTGCATGGGTGGTCCTGGTCATGTTGTTCACTTTGACCTTTCAGAGGAATCAATCGAAATTATTAAAACATGGGGATGGTCAAAAGTATGACTACTTCAATTATCTTCAATTTGGAGCGGGGGTTTCAGTTTTCAGATGCTGGCCTAGAATTGGTCTCGTCTTTTAATGCTGTGTATACCGGGTATGGTTCTTTTCTTGTGTTTCTTTTGACTCTCGTTGGCATTCTGCGGTATTCACTCTCCATCAGTGGGCCGTGGGGGCACCCAAGGACGTTTTGTCTCTAAGTCTGCCGTTGTTTGGACTTCCGACTGTTATATGAGATTTTTCTTTCTTAAAAGGAGTGACCAACAACTAATGTGGTTTTCAGTTTGGTGGTTATTTTATGGATGACCCATTTTCATCCATGTTACAGGACAGGATGGTCATGATGTTCGGTTGGTTGTGGATTGTCTTCATCCACAATCCAAAATTTTGATTACACATATATTTCATGGATGTGACTGGTTTACAATATTTTTACATTACTTTGATATAATTTATCTTTTTTACACATTTTTTTTCTTTTTAAATTTTAAAATTTAAAATAATAATTTTTAATATTTTATCAATAAAATAATAATTTTTAATGTTAATTTTAGTACAAGTTTGATGGTTTTTCATTTTCGTTCTTTTTTCATTTTATTTAAATATTAATTTTTAATAAAATAATATTTTTTAAATATTCAAAATAATATTTTTTAATTACTTTACTATCATTTTTATTAAAAATAATGTTTATTGGTTAGTATTCATTTATTTATGCATTTTTTTCAATTTATTTATCATATGAAATGCAAAAATTAGACTTTTATGATCCGCACCTACAAAATGCCATTGTGGGTGTGGATTGGTCCCGTCCACACAATTTATTCAAAGTTCAGAATAGTTGTAGACTATGGTGTTGTGTAAATTGATCATGACATAGGGTGTGGTGTGGATAGATCCATACCCACTAATTTTTCATCAACACAGTAAAACACCCCAAAGAAATGCAT